TACCTTCTTTGACTGCAGTCACCGATCTTCATGTTTACTACGCGCTTTCAACGTTTTTTCTCAAGGTAATTTCGAAGATAAAATAGCTTTTATTAATACTTGTCGTAGAGCCTTGCTCAGTCATGCAAATTCTCTTAGAAAGAACATTCTACTGCATCTTGGAACGCTTTGTTTTGCTCTGCAGTTCGTTCATGACGGCATTTCACGTGCTTGTAAGTATATGGGCCGGAGAAGGAAGCTATAACCGAGGCGAGTAGAATACGTTTCAAGCACTACTCATTTTTTTTCCATCTTTGTCTAGTGGAAAAAGTCTGAAGCCAAATTCTCACCTGAGTTTTATTAGACTGAAGCTTATGTATTTATTTTCATCAGCTTCGTTTAGTTTTGGGTTAAACTTTCTTTTTGGGACTCTTTGGGACCGAACAACTATTTCTTTGCAAGCAAGTAAGGAATAGCAAGGTTTAATAATTTATTTTTATGCTCTTTTTAAATACTATTTTCCAAAAGAGTCCAAAATTTGGCTCAAGAACGAGAACGTGCCTTGAAGAGTACACTGAGAACCAGCCATCTAACCAGTGGCTGCGTCGTGTCATCAATTTCTGGTTGAATGATTGTTTTCTTGTTTCGAATGTTATCGTTAGAGTTGTAAGGCGTAACTGCCACATCAAACAGGAATAGATGCGTTTTTCTAGCAACAAAAAAGTTTTCAGTGTCACACTGCTTATTTGGCACATGGTTTCTTATAAGTCTCAAATGAAATTTCGAGAAGAGGCCGTTTTAAGTGTCTTGTGAGGTATGCATGCCTTATTGAAGCATTACTCAGTATAGTAGATTTTTTACCGAAACTTTTTGTGTAGTGGAATTGCTCTACTTCCCGTACCATGCAAGAAGCAAATTTTGTAAAGTTTTTGCTTTGGAGACGAAATTAGTTTGTTTAGACCACAAATTCGTCTCGTCATGTGAGAGGTTAAAAGTCGCATGAAGACGGTCGTTTTCATATTTGATGTTCGGGCAAAGGAGAGTAGAAGTACTGAGAACAAGTTTTTAAACTTAGGGAAGACCAAGCTGTAACTTGTGATCATCTTAACAATGATTCCATTTGCTTGAAGCTTTAGGTTGCTTTTTTACCGCGGAAATTTCATTTACAGTGGTTGTTCTATCACTGTATTGGAAATTTAAGTTGCTGTGAAGCAGTAGACTGAGTCAGTAGTTGCTTGCTTATGGACTGTTGGATGTTAGGTTGAAATTTAGGTAATACTGCGCTGCGTACTCGCATATGTCGGATTGTAGAATCGATGATTTACACCGAGGAAAAAATTGACAAAAGCATGTTCGTTTCGAATAAATATTATATTTCTTCAGTCAAATAAGGTTAAATGAGGTCATAAAAAGCGAGCAATATCAAATGTTGTCGCCTTTCGAAGGCATTTAGATTAACCATTATAAGCGGCAGAGAGTAAGCAAGGGCAGAAGAATAAAATCTTTTGCTTTTAAGAATTAATCGCTCAGGAGTGAGTGGTTCAAGGGTGTATTTTCTTGTGATAGTAAAGATATTTATTTTGTCTAAATTTAACCTGTAGACGAGATTTTCTACGTTTTGCCGAAATCAGAGAACGGTGTTGTCTGAATTTGTTTATTATATTACTCTCATTACCCATA